TGTGTGGGGGGGAGCTTTGCGGGCGTCCGAAAAGCACCCACACCCGCTTCTGACCACCCTCGCCCACCCAAACCTCTTCCTCCCTCGCCCGTGCGCATTCCGGCCCGATGCCATCTACCCGCATTCATGCCAATGTGGAGCAGCCGCTCCACATTGAAGCAGGCTCTAGAGAGTATGCGACATCTCACTGCCTCCGCCATTGAAGCGACGCGCTGGCTGAGGGCACCGCTCGTGACATGTCCCTGGTATCTGCGTCTGTTCAATGCCGGAGACACATTACTGGATGGGACGAGAGAGATATCTACCATGCCCGTTCAATGCTCGTCCGTCCGTATGCCGCCATTAAACAGGCTCTCCGGCCAAGAAACCCACTCGGGCGGCGCGCATTGACGAATCCAGACGCCCAGCCTCACCAGAATTCCCTATTTAAAGGTGGCCACACCTGGCTAACTCTATTCCACAAGACAAGCCACTCCACATCCTCCTTCATTGCACCGCATCCGCCATGACTACAGGCAGTGAAGCTATGTGGGAGAGCCTTTCCACGGAGCTGAAGCACGAGGAGGCCGCCTTTGCAGCCGCCTGGCAGAGCCGACGTGCTAGGAAAATCGAGGTCGGCTTGCCGATCAACTTGCCCGAGGTCCCCGACGACGATTATGACCCCACGATGGAGAAGAGCTCCAATGACACCGCACAGGAGCCCGCGCCTATGCATGTCGGCTTCACCATGGAGCAGGCGCACTACAACGCCGCCATGACGGAGGTGTAGCCTACGCTGGCGCCTATGCCGGTATTCTAGCAGGCGCAGGAGGAACAACGGCACAACATGTTCCTCCCGGAGTAGCACCGCATGGCAGAGGGCCAGATCTACGGCGAGCGCACGAGCAGGAGGCCGTGGCGGCCATGGCCTCGACGAACCCCAACTTCACTACGGAGCAGCGTGCGGTCTACGAGTCCGTCTGCGCTCAAGCCGCCGCTCGCCAGGAAGCGGCCGTTGTGGAGGCGCAGCTGCAGGCGATTGTGGAGGAGAACAATGGCAGTTGCGCCTCCTATCTGCCACCGATGAACTCTGATGTGGCCCGATGGGACAAGGACATCGCGGGCGCCCCCATTTCCATCATGGACCCCATGTCCACCAGTGACAGACAAGGCGCGGATTCCTCCAAGGATGAGTAGGGCATGGGAGGCGGCAGGGCCTTGTGTCCCATATGGGTCAGTTCATTCCTTGCCAAAGACCGCAACTTCACTTTATCGGTCTTATCGCTGGTGCTCATGGAGACGATGGATGGAGGAGGTGGTCCTTAGAAGGGAACAACATGGGCTTGGACGGCGGTGGCTGCCGTAAGGTTTTTTTCTAAATATTTGAAATGTAATGAAAATCCGCAGTGTTTGCATGAATGACGTCCGTTTTATATGAAATCCTTTGTGTTTGCACAAATTTCGTCCGGTTAATTCATGGGTAGCGTTGGATGGCGACCTCCCACACCCGTGTCCGCGAGCTGGCCCCTCTGTCCGCGGATGGATGCGGGAGAAAATTTATGGGTCGCCGTTGGAGATGCCCTTATACACATTAAAAAATGCTCTCATTTTCGATGTGTAACAATATATGTGTATGTCATCATATGTAATTTGAATTTAACATTGGTTGTTTCTTGGGTTTTTTGCCCTAAGAAGATCGACTTGTATTTTTAATACACGGTACAGATGCACACGCTCATACACACACATACACTCATCTCTATGAACGCACGCACGCACACATAACCTACCTTAGGTGTATTTCTAAGGGACTAAGCTGATACAGCATCTTGAGATACAAGAAGTCACCACAGCTGTCTCCGTAGTTGACGAACATTGCCGAAAGGTCTGAAATAAATCCAAAAAAAAATACAAACACTAGTTTAAGTTGAGGACTTGAACCTGATGGGTTGGTTCCACCACAAAGGACCTAATCGTCTGAACTAAGCTAAGTTCACACAGATGGTCTTGTTGTTCGGGGTTATTGTAGCTTGCGATGGAAGTGAGAATTGAGAGTTAGCGGCGACGGAGAGCTATCTTTTTTATTAAAAAACCCACCCATGTATTAATTAAATTAAAATGTTCATATAATCATTGGTTACAACATTTTCCACATAGGCCGGAACACTATTAATAAGAACACCATCAGACTTATTAACAAAACTGAACTTCACAATCTCGTGTGCCACCATATTAGCTTTCCTGCCAATCTTGGAGATCTTTAAATTCGCGAGCATCTTAGAGATGCTCAAAGCTTCCTTCTTGAGGTCAACAATGGGGGACCTGTCAAAACTGTCTTTTCCAAGAGCAAAAGCCACAAAAGAGCAATCAGTTTCTAAAATGATGGGTTTGTGAAGCGTGATACCGATATACAAGCCGGAGAGTGTCGCTCTAAGTTCCGCTTCCTCAACACTATAGCAAACTCCAATATAATCCCAAGAGAAAATGACAACTTCTCCAGAATGGTTTCTGACAACCACCCCCACACTCGCAGCGTTGATTGCCTCCACAAAACTTACATCGACATTAATCTTAAAGAACTCTGCGGTGGGAGGTTGCCAATCAGAAAAAATCCTCTCCATATTATTTGAAGCTAGAATGCCATCACCCACTTCCTTGCCTTTGTTACTCATCTCCACCTGCACTTTTGCATGACAAGGCGAAAAGGAAGCCTAGTAATTTTTAACAAAATTCATAGAGGTTGAGATGGATTCTTTTCCCTTACCAAAGATCAGATCATTCCTCAAGTGCCAAGCTCTCCAAAACATGAAAATAGTTTGCTCGCGCGCTGCCGAATTTAATTGATCCAATAAAATAAGAAGTCCTTCCGGCCTCGTATTTTTTAAAATCTCTTCAACCGGTAAATTCCACACCTCCGTCAAAGCCATATGAAGTGCACGAGTCTTTGGACAACTCACCAACGCATGAAAAGTCACCATCTTCAACACCACAAATTGTACATGTACCTAGGATATATAGATTGATGGCGCTTTACCCTGTTAACTTGAACCGCCAAACTATTTGAAGCAGCCCGCCATGCAAAGGTTTCTAATCTTCTGAGGGACATTAGCCTTCCAAATAATATTTCAGACCGTCCTTCCCCATTTGCTGCTACAGTAGAATTCCACAGATTAACCTTTGAATCCATGAGATTCAGTGCCAGCCTATACACACTCTTCACTGAAAACATGACACTCTTCTCATGGTGCCAAGCAATAAGATCTTCCTCACTCAAATTCAGAGTACGCAACTTTTAGTTTTCCTCTGCATCATGAGTGTAAAACAAATTCCTAATCAGATTCTCATCCCACATCCTAGAACCAGACATGAATAACTAGGACACCCATTTAATCCTAGTTCTTTTTTTTCTTAGCAGTAATCTTTAGGCCAGACTCCCTAGGAATCCTATTATCCCTCCATATGTTAATATTGGCCCCATCGACAACTCTCGATATGACGCCTTGTTTCAATAAATCAAGGCCATGCATAATACCTTGACACGGAAGCGATGTTGATTGAGGGAAGACAATATCAATAAGATGCCCACGAGGACAATATTTTGCTTTTATCACCTTAGCACACAAAGAGTGTGAAAAAACCAATAGACGCCACGATTGTTTGGCCAAAAGAGCTTGATTAAATAGCCTAAGATCATGGAAGCCCATACCCCCTTCACCTTTTGGTCTTGTCATCTTATCCCAAGACAGCCAATGAGTTCTCCTTATATTTTCCTCACCGCCCCACCAAAAATTCTTGATGATCTGGGATAACTCATCACAGAGGGACACAAAAAATTATATATACCCATGGCATAGACTGGAATGGCCTGGATAACAAACTTGATCTGAATTTCCTTCGCCCCGCTAGAAGGATATTTTTCAATCCAGTCTGGCACCCGCTTAAGAGCTTTATCTTGGGTAGATTGAAATTTGCCTGACTTTATACGACCTTCTGACACCGGTAAACCCAGATATTTATCCTCAAATCCTTCACTCGTAATCTTAAGGATAACAAAAATGGACACCTGATCTTCCAAAGAGCATTTTTTGCCAAATAAATTGGAACATTTTTCTGGACTTAACAATTGACATGTACCCTCCTCATAAGCCGTCAAAATTCCTTTAACGGCCAGAATTGCTCCACAGAACCCGTAAAAAATAGAAGACTATCATCAGCAAATAATAAATGAGATACTTGGAGCATATCTATTCAACAGGAAATCTTGGATCACCCCTCTTGTTGAAGCATCATTAAGTAGCAACGAAAGAGTAGCAACGAAAGAGCTTCGGCCACAAATAGAAACAAGTATGGCGATAATGGATCCCTTGCGTAAGCCCACGCGAAGGGTGAAAAGACTCCAGCAGCTGGCCATTAAATTGTACAGAAAATTTTACTAACGTAACACACGTCATAATTCACTTAATGCAGGTTAACGCAAAGCCATGTGCTCCAAGCATACTTTCCAAGAACTTTCGGTCCACACGGTCATAAGCTTTAGCAAGATCCAAGTTATATGTACAATATTCGTCACGACTATCTTTCGACGAATGCATACATTAATTAAGGAACACATGTATGGAAGTTTTTATTAGATGGGTGAATCAATTTCCTTCTTCTTTTTGTGAGTCATTATTGGCCCTTGGGCACGCACCGTCCTTTGATAGACAGACAATTTCCGTTAGGTGGATGGCCAGCACCCCATTTAATGGAGGACTGGACGTGTCTACTGGGCACTGGCTCTCAAAGTCTCAATGGTCCATATACTAGTTGCACCACGTGATGCACGTACGTTCGAGATAGATACGGCTCGACTGTCCCGTCCCTTTGCCTCCACACCAGAAGAGAAAAAGATAATGCGAGAACTCCAACTTTCTCCCTCTATAAATAGAGCCAGAGACGAGCTAGGCAGCATACTTGACATCGCATCTCTCTATTACTACTACTCTTCAGAGTCTTCACCACACAAAGTAGCTGCTGTTGCGATGGCCTGTGCTCCATCTACGGTGAAGGTGGCCGCCATCTCCCTGCTGGTGATCCTGTGCGCCGGAACACAGCTCACGGCCGTGCATGGCCGTGGCCCAGCCCTCGACGTTGCGGATGGCGGTGAGGAAGACGTCGGCACGGCCCTGCTGCGGCTCGTGAAGCCCACGTCGGCGGCGCTGGACGAGCTGGCCCAGAAGCTGCGTCAGGGCTGGCTTCAGTGCAGTGAATCGTGTCAGACTTGTATATTCGTTTGCGCATGCCAGAACTGTGAGTGTGACGGCCCGCCATCGGAGGAGAACAATAAGTGTGAGCGGGATTGCATCCAGAGAAGGGGCTGCGAATCATTGTGAACAAGACATGGTAATGCTGCTGCTGGTATGTGTTCTTGTGTGTGCACCGTGTATTTCAATCTGGTTGGTTGTGTAATAAGCACCCGTGGCCCGGCCCTAGGCAGGCAGGCGTACGTACGTGCATGTGTGCGTTGTGGAGGCATGGTACAGTGAGTCTCGTTTCAATTGTCCCTGGTGTGCACGTACTGTACACGTCCGTTGATCTGTATATGTTTTCCATCATGACGCGAACGCCATGCCGGCCGTTGTTCTTTCCTCCTAGGCAGGGGTAAGCTGCGGCAACTACTCTGTTTCAAAATACTCATTCTCAAATATAAGTCTTTTTAGAGATTCCAAACTACATAAGACCCTTTTCCGGAAACCCTTCGACGCCCAGGGGCGATTAGGGTTTGGCGGAACTTGGCGGCGCCCGTGGACTAGATCGACGGGGCGCACGTGAGATCGCCGGGCAAGGATGGCC